CCTCCTCCCTCCTCCTCCCTCCCCCCCCCATCCTCGTGCTCGCGGCGCTCAGCCCTTCATCTACGACGACTAGGCGCTCCTGACGCCTGAGCTGCCACCTCCAGCTGTGCTGATGGCCGCCCTCCGGCTTAGTCGCTGGTCACATCAAAGCGCACGTCAAGTGGCGGCGACGTCAGATACCTGCAGCTCACCCTGTTGTCCCGATCAACGTGCCGACACTGTTTCTGTCGGCGGCGACAGAAACGCTGTTGATGTGTCGGCGAGCGCGAGTCGCCGACGAGTCACGGTTGTTATTATCATGGTGGTGGTATGGGGGCGCGCCGCGGTATTTCAAAGGCCTAATTGCGGCGCAAGTGCGTGTTATCGTTGTGACATGACGCGATGGGAGGGGAAGATAGGAAGGGCTGTGATTTACTTGGAATTTCGAGTTCGTTTTGGGGCTTTTTCTTATTCTTTTTCTGTTTCTTCTTCTTATTCTTCTTCTTCTTCTTCTAATTCTTCATCGTCCTCCTCTTATTATTGTTATTAATATTATTATGTGTTTATTATTATCATTATTACATTTAATAATATATTCACGCCAGTGGGAATTGCATTTCTGATGAAAAAAATACCCTTCTTTTAGTGTTGCTATAAGCTGATTGACTGCCTACTGGATCAGTGCAACTCGCAAGTTTTCGGCGATCTCACCGGTGCTGTCGACGTCGTGCTAGGACAGGAGAATACCCTGTTACAGGTACGTCTCTTACATGAACACAGCCTGACATCTGTACGTGAATAATCAACATGCTGCTTTAAATCTATTCCGAGGATATGCGATACTAGCACGTTAACGTGTGATGATGTAGAGGTGCAGACTTTAAAGTGATAATAAATAGGAGGAAAAGTAAAAAAAAAAATTCTCCACTTTTTCACAAAATGTAAGTGCTTCTGTTCACTTTTTATGGCTAAATTGCTGCGTTATACTTCCTATTTTGCTATTCCGTTCGATTCTATTCCGAGGATATGTGATGGTAGCATGCATATGGTCATTGGTGTAACGATATGGTAATGTTGGCTTTACGGTGGTTGACGTGGGAGCTGGCATGCGGTTTCCACTGAGAAAGCAAATTTATGCATTAGGTTGGAATTGCTTCTTCGCGTTAATTCTGCTGCGGCGTTATTGGTGGTGGGTTGTTGGCGTGCGCGCGATTTGCATGCGCGGATGAAATGCAGTAACTTTTATTGCTTCCGTTAATCTCGTCACCGCGTGTGCTGTCGTGCGTTGTTGCGGTAGCCAGACGATTATGACAACGAGGTGCAAGGGTCGCGCGCGACCTAACAACGCTTCGTGATTAATGCATCGACGGAAGGAATTGCGATAATAGCTTCCCTGATTAAAACGTCATTTTGTGACGACGGGCGTATTGCTTCGCTTCAAGGCGGCGCGTGCGTTTCATCGTGCGAAGCGCTCGGCAGTTTTCGGTAGGCGACAGCGGGTTTTCGACGTTTTATCACGTTTCTCTTCTTTTTTTTTCCAGGGCGCTCTGGAGGGCTTCGTCGAGTACGCAGACTCCACCTACGGCTGCCTGCTGGTGCGGGGGAAGGTTGCCGTGGCGACGAAGAAGTGGTGGGGCCTGACGGGGATGGAGTTGGTGTTGATTTCGCTGCTAGTCAGCACGCTTCCCCCGGGATCGTCCCGCGACATTCCCGTATTCCTACCTCAGGGCAGTCCGACAGTAAGTGTGACATTCTTGTATTCCTGTTTCACGGTGATCGGGCAGTATGTGTGACATTCCTATATTCCTACTTCATGGCAGTTGGGCAGTATGTGTGACATTCCTATATTCCTACTTCATGGCAGTTGGGCAGTATGTGTGACATTCCTATATTCCTACTTCATGGCAGTTGGGCAGTATGTGTGACATTTCTCTATACCTAACCTGAGGGCCATCCGACAGTAAGTATATATATATAACATTCCTGCATTCCTACCTCGCGGCAGTCGGACAGTATGCGCGACATTCCGATAGTCCTACCTCGGGGCAGTACGACAGCAAGTGCGACATAGGCCAACTGACAGCTTTTTGCGTTCCTGCGTTACTCTGTCTCGTTCGCCTCTGCCTCTGCCTTCGCACTCGTTCATCATTTTCGTACGTGTCTGCTCTTCGTGATATCTAAAATCAATTACGGGAGAAGCGAGTTCGGAGCTTAGGCCACGAACCAGGAGAGCGACGGGGCGCCGCGATCGGCTAGACGGAGCTTTCACGCCCCCCCCCTTCGCTCCTTCCGATCGTGAAACTAATTACAAGTCTGCTGGAAAAACCCACGCCGAGTTGCTGAGCTACTCGTTAAATATTTAAATTCCAACTAACATCCAATACACATAGTAGTGATTTCCACCGATACGAGTACAGAGTGCCAATGCCCACGATTCAGCGAGTTACGTTCATAGGCTCGCCGGCGTCTCCCTGAGACCGGCGTATGCCATCGTCGTCCAACGCTGCTGCCGCACTCGCTGCCGCCAAGCCTAAGTTTGAGCATCCCGAGAGGTTAGTTTGGTGCATATGGGCGAAAACACTATGATTTGCGTGGTGGCTGGGGTACCGAACTATGCCTTGATCGCCTTGGCCTACCTTCTTCCTTTCCACAGGTGCCGCACCGTCTTGTGGCTTATAGTGTTATTACTTACCATAGCATATTTTCACTACAGTAAGGTCAATAAAGATCAGCGAGTTATGCTCAAAGGTCGCTGGTTCTCTGGGACCTTCTCTTCTTATTTCTTCTTCTTCTTCCTTATTCTGTCTCCTTCATCCTCCTGCTTCTCTCCGCTTTGGTTGCGACACCATCCCATCGGGGAGGCGGCCAAGGGGGGGCTTCATCATCCAAGGTGCGGCACCTCTCGGTGTGCCGCCTCATCTGCTTCTTCTTCTCTTCTTATTCGTGTCTCCTTCATGTGCCTGCCTGCTCGGGCTTCTCTTCCCCGCACAGGATGACGCGCCCGAGCTGTGGCACGCGGGTCTCTGAGCTTCTCGCCTTCTCGGGAAGCCTCTCTCTGGCGGATTTCTCTTCTGCGGCGCACCTTCTTCTTTCTTCTTACGTTCCATTATG